CTTCATCTCATCTGATTCATCAGTCTCACTCTCCTGTGAGTCTGGAGGTTTCTCTTCATGTAAGCCGATTTCCTACAGTAAAAACAGAGCTGAATTCAATTACAGTGTTTGTATGGGAATCTAATGTCGAATAATTTCCGTAGAACGGCTGTTCTGAAAAAAATATCAATTGTACACTAAAGCTACAAAGCAAAGGATTGTCCGCAAAAATTTTGAAGGCGTACCTGTGCTTAAATTTCTCCAGAGGCTTGCTTTAGATTTTCTATATATTTGTCTGTAATTTTCCTGGGACGTTCTTTCAGACAAATGTATAGGAAATTTAAAAAGTGGTTCTAGGTCTTTTAGTGCATGTAACACCCTCAAAGTTTTTCAGTAGAATCCTTAAGACTGAAGCCTTGGTTTACAAATCATATTTTTTTCAGAACAGCTGTTCTACGGAAATTATTGGAAATTAGATTCTCATAGAAACACTCTAATGTCTCATGCGTTTGCAACGAACCCTTTCTTGTTTTGAATAGATTCTCGGAAACAACCTCTCTGCATAACAGGACCTCGTGCTCGCTTGTCCAGTACATCACATTACTTCGTGAAACAAAGAACAGTCTGTTTTCGTTTGTTTTCAAATAAGAACATATTAAATATAAAGTTTAAACTCACTTTAATCTTATAGGTAAGCAGGACAGGCAATTGAATCTTCTAATAAACTAAATTGGACTCACTTGCCAGTTTTCGACTTTGGTATCGAACTCGGCGGGTCTGCGTGTTGTCCATTCAGTCATCATACCTGTAACCAATTGACCTGCAGTAAAAGGCAAATTGAAATTTTTGTTTGTTATTTTTTACAATAAATAACATTTTCATGGACTTAGAAAAACAGTTTTGCCTATAAGGTAGCAAAAGAAAATTTAATTCTAGGTCAAATTCAGAAGAAACTACTCACGTTTTCTGGAAACCCTCCAAGTGCCAACCTTGTGTTCTGAACGTGAAGAAGATGCGTTGCAGTTTAGCGCCAAGCATGCACAGTGAAGCACTTTGTGAGCAAATTACTTCTGGTGACATTTCAGGCTGCGTCGCGTTGTGGTTCGTGCAGTCCCCGTTGAATGTGAGTGGTGCAAACCAAGGCGCATTTCTTCAGATTACTTGAGATAAACATTCGGTTGCAGATTGAACGAGATGACATCTGCTTCTTTCAGGTTTTAATGCAACTTTATTCAGCTTTATTGCCATTATCAGTGCCGTACAACTTTTTACACTCACCATGCTTATACAAAGTATCTCTGTTTCCTTGACGTGTTGATGGCGATAGAAATCAATAAAAGTCGATACAAATCGATAACTGAGAACTTTGTGATTATCGACTTTTATCGACAAATTAAACAAATCAATTGACAATTATCGGGCGCCATTGACTTATCGACTACCTTTCCGATGATCGACTTTGAGCGACATGTCACGCCCTGCTAAAATGTAGTCCCTTTCTAAACCTCGCAAGCATCGACATCTTTCTACAAAAGAGTGAAAAAATGTAAAGAGAACACATTTATCAAAAGGAAAGGACAGCACTTACCTTTTCAGTCAGTCTCTGATTAATAAAATGAAATCTTCATCGAAGAAAAGGATTACAAATCGATGTAGGGAAAAATAAAAGTCCTCTTCTTGATCTGAGACACGTCATCTCTATCTTTGTGATGGAACGAATGAAGAGAGTTTTGCAGCCACATTTATAAATTCGTGCCAAAACCGAAAGGGCTGAATTACGTACTACGCATGTCCATGACATCGCTTGTGTACTTGTCTAGCCCGTGTGCGAAGCACTTGTGCAAAGTGAAATTCTTGCATCTGAGACCATTCTATCTTCGACCATCTGTTAAACTCATATTTGTGAATGCCAACGAAGGAGAAAGTCTACGAATACGTTAGAAATGCAACTCATTGAAAGAAATGTTACGTTATCCAGGGATCAAGGAAAATCCTTTTGACCGTCGTGGCGAGGTTTTTCATTGTTTTGATGCAGATTGTCAGTAAGTTTGGAGAAAGATGACTGAGAAATTCAAAAAGAACAATGTGCTGGAGTTTGGGCGACTTTTCTTCGGTGGAACGTAAATGATTTACTTAAACATTACATTATTTTGGTTAAGGAGGAGCAAATCTTTGTAATGTAGGCAAGCGATAACAGTTGTTTACCGTTTCTTGGTGGCAAGAAGGGAATGGCAAGAAAGCCCTCTTTGAGCACGATGGTATCATCTGACAGACACAAGAAGTCATGAAAGTCATAAACTTAGTTACAAATCTTAGTGCGATCAAAGAAGCTTTTTCATATATATAGCTCTAGCCGGCTTAGAGGCACTGCATGGTCGAGCTGTAGAATCAGTATTTATTCGGTTAAGTTTGTTTAAAATTTAATTTGCACCTTTAAGCTTATTAATGAGTAAACTTTTTAAGTTTAAAGATGTTGAAGTTTTCAGAAACAATTACAAGTTGGCTCGGCTCTAAGTGAGTTTTCGTATTAACTATACCTTTTCCATTTATGACGCGTTAGAATGAAGCGGAAGAATCAAGGAATGAAGATCTAGACTTCGAAGAGAAAAATTTATGAAAGTCTATAGAGTCAGATTGTGCTTCTCCCTGTAATGAAGCCTTTTAGAGAACTTCAAGTCACTGATACTTTTACCGGCAGGCATCGACTGTATTACTTACCCATTTACTCTTTTCAACATTAATTTTGCCTGTTGTCATGTGCAAAAAATTATAATAGCTCTTTTGAGCTGAGCTAAGAATGAGTCATAAAGGGAAACAAATTTGGAAGAAAAAATTGAATTCGAAACTTCAGTGATTGTTATGTGTTCTTACAGTTCTTATAGTGAAACCAAGCGAGATACAAAAAGAGAAATAACTAAAAGACGATCATTGATATGATGACTGGACGATTTCTTAGAACTGATAAAATATTGATAGTCTGTACTTCATTTCTGTTTACGCTTGAAAATGTACACATTCGAATGAAAGAACTGTTTTCGGCTTCGTCTGTGCATCTTTTTTTGTTCATAGCGAAAAACGGAAGTAAAATTATGAAGGTGGAAACAAGAATTCAATAAAGTATGAAATAATCTACCTTTAGTTTAAATGGGAGCCTTGAATATTCGGAAACCACCTTAAAAATCGGGAAAATGTGAGGATGTTTTGAAAATCCTATTGCAAACGATACTATTTATAGCGGGGATGCTTCTTTCCTGTGTCTTCTTTTGGTCATAGAAAAAAGTGGAAGAAAAATTACAAAAGTAGAAACGAGAATTCAATAAAGTATGAAATAATCTCCCTTTTGTTTAAATGGGAGCCTTGAATATTCCGAAACCACCTTAAAAATTGGGAAAGTGTGAGGATGTTTTGAAAATCCTTTGCAAACACAGACAGACTTCATAAACAAAACTAACTGCCTTTTATCTGATCCAACTTTTTGCACATGCTGCGAAGAACATGGTCTCTGAGTAAAACTACTGGAGGAGCGGTTACATAGCTGATACTACAACGAGTACCCTGCACTCCTCCACTAAGGTTTAAAGGCAAGAAAAACAAATCCAGTCCTTAAGTATCTCTTTGACTTAACCTTAACTCAACAGAAAATGTCACTTAGAAACAAAGTCACTCAAATATGCAGGAGCACGTCATTTTCTCACTGGATAACACCTCTCAGAGTTTATTTGGACATCAGACTGTTCTGCCGCAGCAGAAGTGTTCATCCCTGCACTCGCTGCATGATCCTCCATAGGCTGAATGGAAGGCCTTGTCTTCTCTAACTCTGAAGGAATACTTTCCAAGACTTCTGACTGGATTGGTGACGGAGGATCACTAGCTCACTGGAGCAAGTGATCTTGATGCCGCCTCCACATACATCCATCTTCCAGTTCAACTTCGAATGCAATAGGACCATTTGACTCTAGTAGGATTCCAGGTACCCACTTTGGACCTTGACTGAAGTTCCTGGCATAGACTTGGGCTCCTTTCATCATGGAACACTTCTTCACGTGGAGATCATGCCTCTGCTTTTGTGACCATTGACTGTCACGCACTTAACGACTTATGCCTGGGTAAGCGAGATCCAATCTCGACCTTGGTTTCCTGCCTAGCAATAATTCAGTGGATGAAACTCTGGTTGACGTCTGAGGAGTGATTCGGTATCGGCTTAAGAAACGCGATACTCTGGTTTCCAAACTTCCATCTTTCAACTTCTTCATTCCCTCTTTGAAAGTTTGAACAGCTCTTTCTGCAAGCCCGTTTGATGAGGGATGAAAGGGCGCAGTTTTGATGTGACATATTCCATTCTGTTTCAGGAAAGCTTCGAACTCTTTACTCACAAAGTTACTGTCTTTGTCTGTTACAACCATTTTTGGAAGTCCATGAGTTGAATAGGCGATTCTCAACTTCCCTATGGTAGCTTAGAAGTCGAAGTGCTCATTGGGAATGCTTCTATCCACTTGGAGTGCGCATCATCTACGATGAGGAACATTTTCCCAAGAAATGGACCAGCATAGTCTAGATGTAGGCGAGCCCATGGCTTATGAGGCCACCCCCAGGGATGTAAGGGGGCTTCCGGAGGTAACTTCCTGTTTACTTGACAGACGTGGCAGCTTCTTACTTTCATTTGTAACTCAGAGGTTGTGTTTTCACTAGGCCGATTAACTGGCTGAACATTCTTCCTAGGTGTTTGTTTACAGACTGACATTAGCTAGTTAAACATGACATCTGTTTTTACTGGGAAATTTTAAGCCACTAATAACTCGCAAGATTCAAATTACAAATCCACGCAACTTTCAAAAATGGTGGGAGAGGAAGCGCTTCTAATGAGTTCACTAGTACTGATTCTTGCCATATTTTTGCGAAAGAGGAGGAGTTTCGTTCAGAGGATGCGATTTATGTCTCAGCAGATGTGGAGGATGCAATAGAACATTGTAATCCTGGCAATTCAACGCCAAAACAACATACATCGCCGTAAGCGCAAGACTATGTGGGTCTATCCAAGGCCGCAGTTTTGGTTCGAACAGCTCGTTGTAAATGGTTACCAAGATCATCCGTGGCGTGAGCAGTTCAGAGTGAGCAGAGATACTTTTGAACACATCTGTGGACTCGTTGGCCCTGAGCTGGTGTGACAGAACACAATTCTTCGCCAAGCTATCTCCATAGAGAATAATAATAATAATAATCCATTTATATAGTGCCTTTTCTACACAATTCAAAGGCGCTGTTGACAAAAAATTAGATAGAACTAAAAAGTAAAAATTAATCATTAAAACTAGACGCTAACTACAAAGTAGATAAATGTACACAATAGATAAAAATCAGATAACAAATAAAAAACGTCACGATTCATAAGCTCGCATAAAAAGGAATGTTTTAAGTTTGCGTTTAAAATCATCAATTGAGTTTGCAGATTTAATATCCTCAGGTAAGTTATTTCAAAGTTCCGGAGCAGCAACATCAGGATCTAAGATTGCGGCTGGATGTATACAATTGGAGCTCGATTATGTAGTACTTGTAAGTAATTAACATAATTTTAAATTCAATACGAAAGGCGACAGGGAGCCAGTGAAGATCCCTCAGGACTGGAGTAATATGGCAAACTCTTGGACACTGGTTGACAAGGCGAGCAGCAGAATTTTGAACATGTTGAAGCTTCCGAATAAGATAGGATGGTAGGCCGTACAATAAAGAATTACAATAATCAAGTTTAGAAACTACGAAGGCATGAATAATGATCTTTGCAGCATCATAAGGAAGATATTTGTGTATGAAACCAATGTTCCGAAGATGGAAAAAGGACGATTGACAGACTGCATTGACATGAGGTACCATACAAAGGGACTGATCAAAGATAACTCCAATATTGCGTTCACTGGGGGAACAGGATACAGTCTCATTACATATATCAACAGAAGATAGTGGTGGCCGAGGTCGATAGCCAGAGGATATTACGAGAACTACGGACTTGTCTTTATTTAATTTCAGCTTGTTAGAAAGCATCCATGCGTCCATGTCCCGAACACAGTTTACCAATTTGGCATTACTCAGATTCATATCAGACACAGACGACGTCCTGAACGTAATATATAGCTGAGTGTCATCAGCATAAAAGTGATAGAACATTTGATGACGTCAAGCAATCTCGCCAAGAGGGGATGTGTACATTGAATATAACAACGGGCCAAGAACGGATCCCTGCGGTACACCAAACTCAAGAATATGAAAAGCAGAGCACACACCATTAACCTCCACAAACTGTGTACGATCAGAAAGATATGATCGAAACCATTCCAATACAGTTCCAGTAATTCCAAAGAGATTGGACACTCGCGAAAGGAGCATACCATGATCAACAGTATCAAATGCAGCTGAAAGATCGAGAAGTATCAGGATAACTGAATTATGTTGATCCATTGCCATGGCTATGTCATTGTGGACTCTAATAAGAGCTGTCTCTGTACTATGGTTTCTCTTATAGGCCGATTGATATGTTTCACCAAGGTCATTAATATCTAAGTATTAAATCAGCTGTTTAGCAACACATTTTTCAATAGTTTTGGATATGAAACGAAGATTAGAAATAGGCCTATAGTTCTTGAAGTCGTTCGAATCCAGAGAGGGCTTTTTGAGCAATGGCTTAAGTATAGCTTGTTTAAGTATTCCAGGCATCCGACTAGTTTCCAAGGAAAGGTTGACAATCTTGTGTATTACTGGGAGAATAGAAGGAAACAGACATTTAAGTACACGACAGGAACAGGATCTAACTCACAGGACTTAGGGGTAGTTGAGCCGATAATACTCAAGAGTTCATCCGGTGGAACAGTCGAAAACATGTTCAGTTGACAGCCTGTAGTACCGTTATCTGCAGCAGTATCCAAAGGTGGGACTTGATCAAGGTCACGACGGATTCTTCTGATCTAGTCACCAAAGAATAGAACAAAATCATTAGCCAAAGAAGATGAGGAATCATGCTTTGGGTACTTCGCCTCATGACATCGATGAAGTAGTTTACTAAAAACTGCGAAAAGCGATCTCATGTTAGACTGATTCTCAGCAACTAGATTTGAATAATAGTTAGTTCTTGATGAAGATAGCAAGTCCTTAAGAACTTTACATTGACGCGTGTAAGCTTCACGATCCCGCATAGAACGGGAAGCACGCCACCGTCGGTCAAGCCGTCTTTTTCCCCTCTTTTCAGACTTTAATTCTTCTGAGTACCAAGGTGCCGCTGGGCGAATAGTAACGGTAAGCTTCTTAATGGGAACATGTCTGTTAAAGATTCCAGATAGCTCAGAATCATAAAGTGCAACTAGATCATCAAGTTTATTTGGCTGATCACTGATGAGGGAAGAGCTTCGAGTGTCACTGAGGAAAAGATCGATATCAAAATTCTTAAAACTACGATAGATAATTTGTTTCTTTGTAAACAAAGGTTTCTCCATGGACAAAGCACAATTAACAACAAAATGGTCAGACAAAGCCGCGTCATGAATAGAAACAGATGTAACTAATTGATCATCATCTCTTGTCATGAGGGGATCCAATATGTGACCAGCACGGCGAGTAGGAGAACATACATGTTGCTTCAAATTAAAGGAGTCAATGAGAGCTAGAAAATCCTGTGAAGATTTATCAAGGTTATTGTCAAAGTGAAGATTAAAGTCACCGGTAATGAGGAGGCTAGATGAATCCGTGACATATTGTTATAGAAGCGGGTTGCCGTTGCTCTTTGGAGATTAGCTACTGGGAATTCATATAGAACCGTCGGGCTAACCTTTGGAATCAGTCGATGCACTGCTATGAATGTAAAGGACGAATTCTGCACTGCCTTGTTGCGAAGAGCGAACGACTTTATGAAATTTCTTAAGACCGAGGCCACAACTAGGCAAACCATACAGGAATTTCAGGACATTAGGCGTTTCCCTCAGGTCGTAGGCGCACTTGATGGGTCCCATATTCCAATCAGGCCGCTCAAAGAAGACTCAAACGAGTATGTTAATCGGAAAAGCTTCCACAGCATCGTTTTGCAGGGAGTTGCTGGTGCTAATGGCAAGTTTTTGCATGTGAGTACTGGCTATGGAGGAAGTATCGCGATGCTCGCGTGCTACGAATGAGCTCACTACTACCTGCCATAGAAAACGGCGACATCTTGCGTTCCCCAATGCGTAGGATAGGTGCCACCCAAGTAAAACCACTCATTGTTGCTGACCCAGTTTATAAACTTACGACCTGGTGCATGAAACCATTTCCTCAGACTAGAGCCCTAACCATAGCCAACGAGATTTCAATAAATCATTGAGCAGTGCAATAGAAAACACTAGAGTTGTTAATAACGTCGTTAGTCTTTAGTAAGATGCTTTACTGCTCATCTGTATGGTCAAATACTACACTCCAGAATATAAACAGATTACAATCTATTCAGAATTTTGCCAGCAAGATCGTAACAAACTCTAGGAAGTTTGACCACGTAACACCTTTGCTTAGAGAGCTAAACTGGCTTCCTGTTAAAGAACAATTATTCTATAGAGACTCCGTTTTGACCTTTAAATGTCCGAACGATCTTGCACCTCAATACTTAACGAGCAAGTTTACCAAGCGCTCAAATATACATACTCGTAACACTTGTACACGGAACTCTTAACAGATTCCGCTATACAGAACGGCTATAGGCCAGCGCACATTTTCCTACAGAGAGGCCAACACATGGAATAACTTGGATAATGAACTTAGGCAAAGTGCCTCATTGGCATCTTTCAAGCGCGCCCTGAAAGACACACTATTGAGGCAGACATTTCCTTCATAAGCTCTAGAATTTAGTAGAATACCATCATAAATTGTGATTTCGAGTTTTTATTGCCATTTTTGTTTTTATAAATTGTAAATAGTTTGTAAATAGTTCCTGAAAAACCTCACGAGGATGTTACTATTAAAGTTATTATTATTATTATTATTATTATAGTGGTTGTCGAGCAGGCATTTGGACTGTTGAAGGGGACCCTTAACAAAATGAAATATACTTATAATATACTCCGAACATACATGAAGTATACTGCACTGGGTATACTTTAGGTATACTTGATGTATACATTTTGTATACACTTGATGTATACTTTTTGTACTAGTAATTTGGAACACCCCGATGTATACAAAAAGTATACCTCTCCAAGAGGATGTATACTAATGGTATACATGCTTCATACACAGAAAAGACCACAAAAAGTATACTTTTTGTATAACACTTGCAAAAAGTATACAATTTGTACACTTCTAAATTAAGTTGCTGAAACCCATAAATTTCAGTAAGGACAAAGGCATGCATGACCACCCTGGCTCTACATAAATTCACTAAAAAATGTTCAATATTTGCTTGTAACAATAAATTTTATTTGGAGCTTTTTTTAACAGTAACAGACGTACAGTATGTCAATAATTTTTAAAACACAATATTATTTTCACTGTAGAAATAGCTTATATATTGTACTTAACATTTAATAAATATTTTTTCATAATTATTTCAAACCCAAAGACTGCTTGCTGAAAAAGGACAATAACCGAATGCCCTAACAAACTTGCAATGAAATTAGTAATCTGAATCAGGCCATCTACTTATCTGTCACAACATTAACTTTTTTCTGCGTACATAATTATATTACAGAAGAAAAAAAAAAAATTAAGCTTTTCACTCATCCTTCTTTAACTTTCTTGATTCCAAAGCACTCAGCTTGTTTCTTAAAGCCAGCTTCAGAGAGGACTCAGTTGGCGAATGCTTTTGGTATTCTCTCATGACAAATCCTGTAAAGAGGGTCAAAAATCATTACAACATGAGTAGTGAATTTATGGATGGGAAAATTAAAAAAAAGCAGTTTCTGAGAGACTATTAATTTACATAGTCATCATGTTATTGCACACATACCTATAATGCTTTGAAGTATCTCCTTGTCTGGGCATTTCTTTCCATTTGCTCCAGTCAGGTTCATCCCCACCAGCTCGTCGTTTGTGTAAAAACAGTTTAACAAAAACGATGCCGCTGACTTATACGACGCTCTGGCCATTGCTTGGTGAATATGGTTCTGGTACACAAAAACTTGAGAACCAGGAGTCAACTCTACCATCTGTTGGAATTAAGAAGAAAAAACAGCCATGTTATTTTTATGATAGCAATTTTATATAGACATACACACCTGAACAGCCTGTATAATAATTCCACATGTTCTGCCGCATGTCACATTTCAAATGCTCAAAAGACATTGACAACTTTGACACATAACAAGGGCGTGTAAAGAAAGTCAGCTTACAGTTTACCCTTTGGGCAAGTTGTGGCTTGCAGGGACTAGCCCAAGGAAATGCCCCACAAAAGTAAAAAAAAAAAAGGGCAAGGAAAGCAAGAGGTGAGGACGAGGGAAAGAAAAAAAACAGTCGTGGAGGCAGTGAACTTTTTACCTGATGCCTGAACTTCAATGCTAAAATTTAGCATCAGAAACTATCAGCATTGTACTTGAATTGTTAGTATGTCTTTCGGGTAGTTCACATCTACATTGTAGATCCTTTTCAGCCTGGTAAGAACCAGAAAAGGTCTTAAATGGCTCGAAAGAGTGGTTTTCTGCTGCATATTATCTGGGAGCAAATGGGTTAAACTGTAAGCCTGACTAGGTCTAGTAGGGTCGAACCTCTTGCAAACATCAAATTAGCCATTGACGACTACATGATTTGCACAAAAACTTTACACTGATTTGTCTACAATAGCATGCACATTCTGTGATTAAAATGGTGAATGAAGTGCTTACCTTAAAGCGTTCTGCTAGAATGGGACTGATCTTTCCAGGTCTTGGAGGATCAGAAACTTAAAAATAATGATAGGAATGACTATAGTTATTAACAAGATCGAAAGTTCACCTTGCATGTAATTATATAGTTTTGTTAGGTTATAATAGTTACGAATAAATACTGCATATTTAACCGAGTTCATTTATTTTTCTGGTACTCAATGATCAATTATCTCCTTCATAAAAATTAAGAACCTACTTAGCCTAAATTGGCAATACGTACCCTTAAAAAATACATGAACCTATTTTGCCAGACTTCAAAAAAGTAGGTTCTTATATGCAGGTGTTTACTGTAATTAGTGGACAAAGACCAGACAGTGGATCGATCGATCCACCACCAAAACAGGGTGCCCCCAAGCAGACTAACTGGATTATGTGCATCCCTTTTCTAATACCCCTTATTTCTTTTTATTCACAACAAGACTGCTTGTTTTCTTTTAACTCTCATTCTTTAATTTTCAGGGATTATCACATAAACTTCCTCATACATACCTTGACCTTGCAAGCTCTTTAATTGATCTTCAAGTTCCCTCACTCTCTTTTTGCGTGTTACGCATGATGGACAATACTCTTCTTCATCTGAACTTGAGAGCGGCTGTGGTAGAACTCGTCTGGGGCATTTACCACCCACAGTTGGTCTGGCTACTAAGTCTTGTCTTCTGTTTGGAAAATTTCTGGGTGTGTTTGTCAGTGGGGTTCTTTGTGCTCCTGAAATGGTGGCTTCTTTCTGTTGATTTGGTATTGACAGTGGCACTTCTGTTAATCTGCCACGCAGAGTTGTCAGAGGAGATCTTGACACTGGTGTGGTGGAATTTGGCATCTGCTGAACTGGTGTTGTGGATACTGGTTCTTCCCCACATCCTGCAGTGTGGTCAGAGAGGTTCTCTGCAGTGATGGAATTGCTGTCTGACAAATAGATGGTGTGGTTGGTGGGTCCTCTGAATTGCCCTGCAGCATGTCCAGTGTCTTTTGAAGCTGTGAGATTGACAACACTCTTTCTGGTGTGGCACTCCGTAACTCATTTACTGTGTTCTGAAGACGATGAACAGGATTTGATGGTGGTGTTGATGAAGTTGTGAGATCCACACACTCTGAGACAACATCGGAATCAAAGGGATCTTCTGCACTTTGATTACTCACCAAAGCAGTCATCCTTTCTAGCAACATGTTATTTCGCTCAGTAAGGGCCTGCCGTTCCTTTTCTCTTTGCTTATTTGCCTGCTCCTTTTCAATTCGCTTTCGCTCCTTTTCTGCTGCATCATCATGATCTTTTCGGGCATTTTTCTTCCTATTTTGACTTTCACTGTCATTTTCTTTGCTTCCTCCAGCTTTCTTTCTGCCCTCAGAGGTCTTGGGTTTTTTTTTGGAAGGTTCATCATCTTTAAGAAATAACAGGATAAAATAATAATGTATAAGAAAAAGGTCTGAATAATTGAGTCTCCCAAAAACAATGAATTTGTAGTAGCTGTAACAAAAAATACAGCCAAGCCTGTTTATGACAGTCACCCTTGGGAAATGGCCAGGTAACCATTATACAGGTCCACTACACAGACAATATACGGCTAAATTAATATTTGGGAACCTGTCCGGTGACCGTAATACACAGGGTGACCGCTATATACAGGGCGGTTATACAGGTTAAATGTTTTTAGAACTTTGATAATTATTATTTTATTATCTACCTCTGTAAATTGAAATTTAAGGGAACAAGGAGCAACCACCTTCAATAATGTCCTCAGTGACTAGTTTTTTATAACACTTACATGTAGTTCCCTTTTCGCGGTGACTTTAAACCATTATATGCTGTTAGTGTCAAATAACAGCTTACTGTACCTTGACTGGTTTCATATCCATCAAGTCGTTTATTCTTTGTTCTCTTTCTCTGCTTCTTACTGGGGGATGAATTCTGTTCACAGTTTGAACTGTTTTCTTCTGTTCCAGAATTTCCAAGCTCCTTGTCTAAAACACTTCTAGCATCACTCATACTGTCTGAAAAAGGCCAGTTAATAAAAAGGGTTAGGACTCTTTTTTTGTGTGAGAAAGAACGATTTCTTTACCCTCTTAGCAGTCATTCATGCAGAGGCAAAATAACAGTCATCACTTTACAACTGTAAATGTATATTTATTATCATTATCAGTAAGTTTTTTTTTTCTTATGTGGTCCAGAGTTCTGACAGATGCACAAGTACATGCTCATGACAGCTTAAATCACTTGAACTATTAGTCTTACCATGGAGAGAGAGAATTTTTCCCCTCCAAATTTCTCCATCATATTGCATTTCAGCAATGGCCCCAGCTCTTACACTTTCCTTGACAGCTAACTTCTTCACAATAATCGCTTCCAATTCACTTCTTCCATTTGGTCGATTCCATTCAACTACTGCAAAGCCATTTGGTTTCACCTACAAGGGGTAGTTAAAAAAGTTATGAAAGTATTCTAGCACAATGTAAACAAATTTGCTCTTTCGATGTCAGAGAAAAGCACACACATTTAATAGTTTTGGTAATCTGAGACACCAGTCGTGGGTCCCATTTTTTGTTTGGAATCATGAATAACAAAAACCTGAGCCTGAAGCTCACAGGAATATGTGCACATGTATGGGAAACTACCTTCCCGGTTAGTTACTTTTGATCCAAGAAATACAAGAAATGGCGGCCCGGTCTCCGTTCACAGTCCCTGTTACCCATGCCGGCAGTCAAGGTAATACAGCGTTGATGCTTGTTAATTTCAAACATGTTTTAAAGGGGGCACAAAAATTTTAGAACACTCACCAAAGTCATTATTTCAAGGAACTGTACTACTTCGACGCAATCGTCAGGGATATATAAGGGTATATATTTTGGTTAACGTTCGCAATATCAATTTTGCCCTCGCCGAGAACGATTAACAAGTAGTAAAAAAGTTGTGAGTTAGTTATACTAAAGAAAGTTAGTTATTAATCGGTGACAGAAACACATGAGCGGTTGTTCAATCAGGCGTTACTTATAGTTTCTGTTGGTGACCAGTGGTGAATATATCAAAGCCTTTTCATAAAAAGACTGAAATCAATGACAAAATTGAAATGCGAGTCATGAACGTGGAAGAACATATTTGCAGAAATTATAAATCACTGAGGTTAAAAAGAAAACGACAGGAACCATGGATGTCAAGATTCAAATGATCACGCTTCTACTCCCGATGCTGTGAAAGTCATATCGGGTCGTGATCGACTTGTGACAAGCCGGTCGACTGCGAGAAAGCCAGTAAAAAGTCTAAAACGTTTCAGTTCGTCCTCTGTTAGTATTTTTCCCTTTAAATATCCTTAACTACAGGACGCTCTTTTAGAATTAAAAATGACTACTGAAAATTAATAATTTCTCAAGTCTTTTACACTGGAAGCTTATAAGCTTAAGTATTTATTGGGGTTTACCTCGGTTTAAAAACCTGTGAAACTCACGAGTGACGTAAAACAATGAATACAAAGGAGCCACTGAGAAGTCAACACAATAGAGCCAAGGAAAACAATAGCTAGAAAACAAAGAAAAACTTTACAGGTTTTTACACCGAGGATGAGCATTTATTGTCGCGTTCTTATTTGAAATGCACTAGCTGAGCCCGATCGAGTTGTATCAGTTCCAGTTCGCAGACACAAAGATAAAATGAATTTTACGCTGCGAATGTATCAAAGAAGTTCTAAGAGAACAATTCCCTGGCTTGAACGCTGCATTCGACCTGAATGAAGAAGGTAAACTTTACCATTTTTTCTCACCGATTTAAGTAGAACCGTTGAGCTTACCTATCACCATAATTGCTATTAAAAACGAACTAAAACGTGACCTGATTAGGGTTTTTCAGGTTTTTTATACAGTTTAATGTACTCACCATTTTCCTGGATACTGGATCGCCCGAAAAAAGGGGAAGCGACAATAAACGTTCAGTCGAAAAAGAGTCTGATGAACCAAGCAATTCACGTTTCACAGCTACTGAAGTTTCGCGCCAAGATCTAACACATACACCGACAAACGTGCCGCAAAAAATCCCGCCAAAGGAAAACAAACAGACGCCGACGTATTGAGCATGCGTAATATCTGCCTGGGTCGATCGGCTTTTATACGAACACAACATGGCGACTGGAAATGCAAAAGAAACACGTAACTCTAGAAGTTGTGAAAAAGAAGAGGTACTTACCTGTCTTATCTGTCACATCCGTCGTTGAAAGTTCCCAGAACGTCAGAGTATCGCCAGAAACTAGCTAAAACTTATGATAGAGAAACGAATGCGGTATCTTGTAGCGACACTGTTGAACATTTTGAGTCAGAGTTCCTGGACTACTCATATGCATCTCAGGGGATCGAAGAATACTCTCTGGAAGACCGTAATAATGTTGATTTGTTGAAAGAAGATGGTCGGCCAGCTGAGGTAGAAAATGACAGAGAAGGCCGCCCAACTAGAGACTCCATCGCTGATGAAATGTTAAAGGGGCTCCTGAACAACACGGCAGTTGAGCAAGACAGCTGTGATGAAATTTCGCAAGTTTTTCCTGAAGATCCAGCGCTTGATACAACGTACGGATCTAGCGAGTTTCATGAGGATTTGAACGAGCAAGATAATGACGTGGATGAACTTTCGGAAGCGGAAGATAGGAATGAAAGCAGCACTCAAGATGACTACGTGAAAATTACTGAGCTATCCTTATCACAAGACACCCCTTTATACGAGGGGTCCCCGTTACTTTTTTCAGTTAGCTTGCTGCTGATTATTAGCTTCGCCATAAGGCATAATTTGAGCGGACTGGCTTTGGCTGACCTTTTGACGTTAATTAACATTCATCTTGTTGTACCCAACTGCTTTGCTAAATCGACAGCTGTTCTCAACCGATTCTTTCGAAAGCTTAAGAAGCCTATCGAGTACCACTATTATTGTTGTTGCTGTTTTGAGTACATTGGGCTTACAAAGACCTCCTGCTGTTCTAACAAGTATTGTCTGGTAGATTTTTCCAAAAAAGGTGCACTGGCCTACTTCATTGTCCTACCCTTAGTCACACAGCTTCAGTCATTGCTGTCAAGTGAGTAGATTATCTGCTAAGGTATAGATCATTCCTTTGGTATCAGGTCACTTCCTTCCAAGTCAGTTCGTTCTAAGTAGATGTCCCACCTGTTACTAAATGATACTAAATAACAAAGAATTTCTCATTATCTTTATCCACTACCATGTTAAGTATCCCCTGTCACTAAATAATGCCCCACATCAAAGGATTTCTCGTTCTTTTGGGTTTACCTCGGTGTAAGAATCGTGCACTTTTTCTTTTCTTTGTACTTCATGTTTTCCCAGGCTCTTTTGATGGAATGAAGTGACTGTAAGGGCCTCCACTGACTAGAAATTTAGTTGTCGACAACGTTTTGTTTTCGACAACTAAATGTTATCAACAAAAAAAACGCAGTGTGTAAGACGGGTTGTTGACAACTAAATGCTAAATTTTGCTGTTGTTGACAACTTAAACATTGTCATTGTCGCAAAAAAAAAAAAAACGTTTTTGACAACTAAATATCTAGTCTGTAGAGGCCTTAAGGCATTCACTCAATACATGTATTTTAACCATTCATCAAACTGAAACAATGTTACATATGTAACTGGTTGTTATCACTTGTTAATGCATTGACAGTTAACATTAGCAGTTCGTGATCAATAATAGGAAAAATTCCAAGATTTAAATGAAAAAGATTTTTGCAGTCTTGTTACATGTACATGTATTCAGGAAATATTATCATTTGCCTCAGTCAAACAGAACCTCTGTGTGAAATTTATTTTCTCACTCTTATGTATTGTTTTCAAATATTTGTTTTGTTTCTTAGGGCCAGAAGTACCTGATTTTCTGCAGTATCGTGTCACAAGACAAAAACAAAACTCAGATGCCATTGAAGATATCTTTGATGGACAACTGTATAAGAAGCACTTTGGGGAGGACGGATTTTTAGGGGTTCATCCACACAGGACAAAAAGACACAGATCCATTTGTCCCTGCAAATAAACACGGATGGAGTTGCAATTTTTAGGTCTTCAAAATTTTCCATATGGCCGGTTTATTTTATTGTCAACGAATTGCCTCCAAATTGCAGGTATGTAATAAAAGCTTGAATTTTTACCCTTGATTAAACATGTGCTGTAAGCGTTTTAAACAGCTTCAAACCTCCTCCCCCAGCCGAGTATTTCATTTCTATAGTATTGCTAAATAATATATAATTTCTCTTTTTTTTTTTTTTTTTGAAGTATTGATTAAAGAATGTCAAACCAAAGTAACCAAAATAACAATGGTTGTAAAGTATAGTCATGTAAATAAATTAATTGTGGAACTGAAGTACACAGTTTAAGCATCTACTTGCCTTCATGATGCCACTACCAAAGAGAAAATTCCACAGTTAATAACCAATAAGAGAAAAGAAATTGTGAGAGAAGAGTATCACTTAATCTAACTGCAACACATCATAATGAGCACTGATAATTTGCAGAATTGCTAACTAGTAAGAATTGTTTGTAACTCATTCTTTGCTTGGTAACTGACCTATCTTGAAATGGACCGCTTTTGCTTTTTTTCTCATTAAAAAAACATATTCACATTTTTTTTTTGTTAAAAAACTTCATTCTTTCCCTTTATTTTCTGTCCCTACAGGCAGCAGAGAGAAAGTACCGCATGTTTGCTGGGCTTTGGTTCGGTGTCTCCAAGCCACATTTCCAAACATTTATGCAGCCATTCGCAAACTCACTAAATGATTTATTCTTCAAAGGTAAGGTTTATGTTTTTAAAATCAGTCCCCATTTTTTGTATTACCTTAAAGCATGCATTTATCTGCTACATTCTAATGTACATATATGCACACTGTAGTCACAGCTACTCTCTAGTATACTATTAGTTCAGAATGTTCATAATAAATACATTGTACAACTGTTGCTGTTTGACATAATTATTACTCCCCGAACTATATATAATTTACAAAGGGGACAAAGGAAATTGAGTCACTATAGAGTGACTCACCGGACAACTTCCCTAAAACTTTGCTTTATATTTTCTGTAAAGGTGACCTGTATATAGTGGTCACCTGTTAGTGTGCGTAACGGATGCAGTCACCCTTTAGACTTAGATGCTATTCATTAACTTCCAGTAGAGTTTAAAGAGAACCTGTATATAACGGCCACTTGGCCATTTCCCAAGGGTGACCGTTATACACAGGTTTAACTTACAACTCTGACTAAAGGAGATTTGGCATAATACATGTAGATACAAATGTGTGCTTTAAATTATTGAAAATTATTTTCAATCATTATTTAGCAGCTACATGTATGTATGAATTTCAAAATGCTTTGATGTGTTATCTGTTATCAATTAACTTTGAAGTCTATAGAAATTCTGCTGCCCTCATTTCTACCCTATGGGTCAACATCTGAATAGTCAGGATTTTTTTGCTCCTTTTTTATAGGGATTGATGTAAAGCTGAATGGCAAGAACATGTTGCTTCGCTGTATTTTACTCTTAGGGACATTTGATGCCCCAGCAAAGTGCCTTTTCCAAGAGTTTTGTCAATTCAATGCCTTTTATGGTTGCCCATACTGCCTGAGCCCTGGCAAAACTGTGCAGACAAGTAGCAAAGGGCACACTCATGCTTACCCATTTGATGAAGCAAATCTCAGAACTGGTCATGGGGAACCAAGAACACATGAACAGACATTAAAGTTTGCAGCTGAAGCTACCAAGGAAAGTGCTCAAAAGGGCATCCCAAGTAGTGTTAAAGGGGTTAAAGGCTATTCATGGTTTATGTTTATTCCAAAGTTTGACATCATTAGAGGAATAGCCATTGACTATATGCACAGTACATTACTTGGCGTGGTTAAGATGTTGCTTACCCTTTGGAGTGACAAGACATATAAAGCAGAGCCATGGTCTGTCTGTAAAAGAATGAAAGAAATTGAAGAGAGGTACCTAAAGATTAGTCCTCCTTCTTGCATCACGCGCCTTCCCAGAAGCCTGATAGCAAACTTTGGGCATCTCAAAGCATCTGAGTTAAGGACTTTCCTGTTGTTCTACTCTGTTCCATGTCTGTATGGTATTCTTCCAGAAGAGTACTTTCAGCACTACCTTCACCTTGTGGAAGCCATTTACCTTCTTCTCCAGGATTCTATCTCTCCGAATGACATTGTAAAGGCCTCTGCTTTAATAAAGCATTTCTGTATCAGGATAAAGGAACTTTATGCAGCCCGCTATGAAACTTTTAATGTGCACTGTTTACTTCACATGACAGAAAGAGTGAGAGATCTTGGTCCACTGTGGACTCACTCTTGTTTTTGCTTTGAAGACTTCAATGGGGAATTAAGAAGCTTATTTCATGGTACACAAAGTGTGGAAGAACAGATTGTGACAGCTGTCAGTGTGCAACAGAGAATACCTGAGTTGGTTCCTCTCCTCGAAAGTGGATCTATGGCTCAAGAACTTTATGAACACCTTTCAAGAAAGCGTCCCCTTGCTTCCAAAAAGGAAAAACTTCCAGGCAACAGCAACTGCAGCATCGTGGGCAACTTACAAAATTATGTCTTTACTGCTGTTGAGCGAGCTGTAGTCGAATCCCTAATTGGGCCAGTTCAAGAAGTGTATCAGTTTTTCAGATTACTCATTGGAGAGCAACTGATTCACTCCAAGTTATACAAAAGCATGACAAGGAGAAACAACTTTACAATAGAATTTAAAGGCAACAGTGGGGATTCACCACCTTCATTTGGACAGATTTTGTTCTATTCCAAAATATATTTACATTGCCCCAACCCTTCATTTTGTGCTAACTCATGTAAATGTAGGAAGCCACTGTTTTATGCATTGGTCAAAGTTCTGAAACCTAACAAGACTTTAGCAATTGCTAATGATCCCTACACTGGTACTGCTGTTTCTCACCTGGTTCCAGTCATCAGGAGTGACAATAATTGTATCACTGCAATTCCAGTGGACAACATTATTCGATTATGCTTTTTTGTTGACTGTGGTAATGACAATACTCCCTTTGTGGGAATGTTTCCTAATCAGTACGAAAAAGACTAAAGCGTTTGAGTGGTTTTTTTGCAACTGTAAGTGCATGGTAGCACCATCAGAGCACCGTCACAGATACATGTAACATGCAAAATTATGATCCTGCAACACGAATGGGTAGGTTTCAAGTGAATTTTTGAGAGAGAAAAGAAAATGTGTGCCATTTATTAAAAGCTGCCATCTTTTCCTGTCAGGGCACGTAAACATAATTTTTTTTATTAAAACTAGCTTCTTTTAATGTTTTTATTATAGCAAAATAATGTTGTGTATCTTTCGAAATTGCATGACATTGACCCCCTTAACGAAGATTGTGTATGACATATCAGTCCCAAAAATGTTGATGTTGTTGCTGAATTTCTCACAATGCTAATTCTTACATGAACAATGGACAATATTATTTTATAAGCATTGGCCAGTGAGTGATGAGTTGCAAAGAGCGAAATATATAATTTTTAAATTACTGCAGTTTTACAGATCTATTAGAGATATGTCTTGTTTGTCCAGTTCTTGTTGTTCAAACGTATTCCTTTCATCAGCATTTGGAATTTCTCAGAGATTCTCTAATCAGGTACATGTAAAACAGTATTCTAGAGTTTGTTTCACTGAAATTATTTTTGGTAACCCTTCAATTCAATCAACATATGTGTTGTTTTTCTACTTTTGTTCCTGCTTTAATTTAATTTTTCTTTTGTTTGGGCATGGTAATGTATGTGAAATTTAAACCAGGGAAAAGTTGAACTACAACATATACTATATATTTATATGTTGTTATATATAAACTGTTTATGCTATACAAAGTATACAAAAAGTATACATCAAAGCTTTACTTCCTAATCAATGAAGATGTTTTTTATACAACTTGGCATCAATGCAGCACTGATGTATACTTATTGTACACATCAGTGCTGTTTGAAGGCCTTGAGGTATACTTGTTGTATACGTCATTGCTGCTTTAAAGTCCTGAGGTATACTTGTTGTATACATCATTGCTACTTAAATGCAAGTGATGTATACAAAGAGTATACATCATTTTTTTTTGCTAAGCCAAATCTTGCTTGATGTATATTTGATGTATACTAAAAATGTACACCATGGCAATGTAATACATACGGTGTATACTATTTGTCTACAAAAAGTATACTATCAGTGCTCTAATTTTGGTAAGGGAGGTGGAGGTGCCTACTGAATAAGCTGGATGAATCTGAGGAGACAGTGTCCTCTACAATTATTGGCTGTTGCATACTACACAATATTTGCCTGGAGGTTAATGATCCCACTGAAATTGATTTCGTCAGTGATGGGAATGGATTTCCTAGAGTGCCTCTGCCAGGCCATGATATCAATGCGGATGGTGCTAGATGAAGGAACATTATAAAAGACAATTTGTACTGAAGCTTTATTTTATGACATTTTCCCTGCAAAGATTAGTTCATTTTCATTTCAGTTTTTATAGCAAAAAAATTTGTCATTCTGGTACTTCTTATTTCAGTATTAATGTAATTCCGTTGAAATTGTTCTGCTATCAAACGTTTTTTGAAACTTGGCATAATCAACATTCATGATATGAACATTAAAAAAATGCAATAAAAAGATGGGGTCACCGTGCTTGTTAACGCGTCAGCAGGCTCTTAAACTGGGGTATTTTTACCGGTTGCGCTTTAAAAATTTGAATTCCCTTCTTACAGAATAAAGCCTTTGTTACTTGAAACGAAATTTTATCTTGAACATAAAGCTTCTTTTATTCAAGTAAGTAGTGTTGCTTCATTTAATTCGTTTTTGATTGCCTAGTTCTGGGGATATTGCACTTTTTCGGACAGTTCCGTGGTTAGCTTGAGGTCCTTGCCTTGACTCAAATACACCAAATACGAAACTATTTCCCCCCAAAAAAATCATGTCCTACTATCAAACTTTATTTCTTCTTCAAATATGTTCTTTATTAGACTGTTCTTAGCAAACACCTGGTAAAAAAAATCGGGGGTCACCGTGCTTGTTTCCTCACAAACTCCTGTAAAAGGCGGACATGGGTTTGAGATCGCAGTCAAGATGAATAATTTGCGCGGCGGGGACTGGGGCGAGATACAAAATAACGCCTATCGTGTTCGAAGTAGGCACTCGAGATCAAGCTTGTTTTCGGTTGTTATGATGTGTTTGATATCGCCAACACAGAAACTGAAACTTGAAAAGGGTACTTTAAATACCAAGGAATAAGGTGAGTCAAGATTTGATGAGATTTTGGAGTTACGAAACTTTATTTTGGACTATTTTGTCGCCTGTGTTCTGAGCTAGTTAACTGGCTAAACACTAGACCAGGTGTTTTCGCTGTATTTCCGCACTTTTCTGACTTTATCTAGCTAAAATTGGCCTAGTGAAAACACAACCAGAGTCCATCTTTGGCCACCACACGTGACTTCTAGCCAAAGACTTCATACGACAAATGCCAGGGTGTGTCTCATGTAATTCTTCCATCATTCTTTCTCTAGCTTTTGGGAGTACTACCACGCGATTTTCTCATAAAAGACACCCATCTTGAATGCTTAATTCTTGTTTTCTTTCGAAGTACAGCTGGAGTGCTTCATCTTTGTTCCTGCTTGGCCAGCCATGCTTGACAAACTTTACTACTTGAGAAAGTACGACATCAGTTCTGGTTCCTTGTTGAATTTCTTTAACGCCCACCGGTGTAGAATCGAGAAGTTCCATCGTGCACACTGTTTCAGCTGGCACAGGTGTTGTCCGCGGCTAACTAGCAAGGGCAGTCTACTGAGTGCATCAGCATTGCCGTGTTCAATTCCAGGTTTGTACTTGATTGTGTATTTCTATGCAGCTAGTGTCAATGCCCAACGTTGAAATCGAGCAGTGGCTAAGGTAGGTGTGGCCTTCTTCTCAAGTGGTTTGTGGTCAGTCTCTAGGATGAACTGTCGGCCATACAGATATTGATGGAATTTCTGCTGGCCAATTATAACTGCCAGCGCTTCTCGCTCTAAATTTGAAAAATTCCTCTCTGCCTTTGTCAAAGTTTGGGGTGCAAAGGAGATAGGATGTTGTGAACAATCCTCCATCTTGTGTGAGAGGACCGCACCTAAACCATTTTGAGATGCATCGCATTCCAGGATCAGTTCCGTTTTGTTGTCATAGTGGACTAATAGTCTTGAAGACATGGGGAATGACTTGGATTGTTCAAAGGCTTGCTGCTGGTCTTTACCCCAATGCCAATGAGTCTTACTATTGAGCAATCTGTGTAGCAGAGCTAGCACACTTGACAAATTTGGCAAGAATTTCTGGTAATAGTTTATCATTCCCAGATAAGACTTCAGCTCTGATACATTCCTTGGAGGTGGAGCATTGGTAATGGCCTCTACTTTATCCTCCATCGGTTGAATACCTTCTTTGCTTACGCTGTGACCCAGGTAGGTTACTTGCGGTTCCATGAACACGCACTTTCCTTTCTTCAGTTGCAATCCAGCCTTTGCTAGACGTTTAAAGACTTCTTCCAGATTTTTAAAATGATCTCCATCATTAGCACAGGACACCAAGATGTCATCTACCCGGGCAATCACATAGGGAATGTTTTGTGACAGATTTTCCATGTTACGTTGGAAGATACCCGGGGCAGAGGAAATTCCATTTGGAAGGCGATTATACTGAAACAGCCCTTTATGTGTGTTGATAGTAGTGTACCGTTTAGACTCGTGATCCAGTTGTAACTGTTGGTAGGCTTGGCTCATATCTAATTTCGTAAACTTCTCGCCACCACCAAGAGTTGCCAGCAAGTCCTCCGCCTTTTGTATAGGATAATTATCCAGCTCTGAAACTTGATTAACTGTTGTTTTGTAATCACCAAAAATGCGAATAGAATTGTCGGGTTTCATAATCGGCACAATGGGAGCTGCCCGCTCGGAGAACTGTACAGACTCAATTGTTCCTTCCTCCTGTAGTCTCTTAAGCTCTTCCTCGATCTTTCCTTTTTATGGCATATGGCACCGGTCGTGCTTTGCAAAATTTTGACACAGCATCCACTTCCACATGAATCTTGGCCTTTGGCCCTGTGAAAGTTCCTAAGCCCTCTTCAAAAACTTCTGAATGCTGATTGATCAATTTCTCAAGCCTAGATTCCATCTGCTTTTCATCCATATTCATTTTGAGCAATTTCTTCCAGTCGAGCTTCACTTCTTTCAATCAATCTCTACAAGCAAACTCGGTCCAGATCCTTCCACTACCAGTATTGACAGCTCGTTTTCTTGCCCTTCGTATTTCACAACAACGTCTACAGTTCCTAGAACTTTGACTAATTCACCCATGTTTCACATGAGCAGGTTTCATTTCAAGTTTCTTCTTTGCTGAATTTCCTTGATTAATTTCCTTGAACGTTTCTTCGCTAATGATCGTAGTGGCTGCATCAGTGTCGACTTCCATGCTCGTTGAAATTCCATTCAAGTCAATCACAACACAGTATGGCTCTTTACCTTCTGCAACCACTCTAAACATCGTATATTCCTCCCCATGTTCTTCTTCCTCTTCTTCCAAACCTGTCGCTTCCATGTGATGTGTGTTCCCACGCTTCTGGCGGTTTCGCTGCTACTTGTCCAGGGACATTTAAAGGCTTAAGCAAACGATCAACAATTTTGGCTGAGTCTACCAACGTCACAAACCCATAGCTTGCGCAAGAACGTAATATTTGGAATAGCCATTTTTAATTTCCCTGAAAAATGCTCATGCATGAGCACTCTGAGATTGTCTAGGCATCTCCCGGCCGTTCGTCTCGGATATGTCACCGAAATGCATCGACCGAGAGGGCCTGGAAAGACGCCGTACAGGGACTAGGCAAAGGCTAAACCATTAACGACTAAAACTTTATTTTCTGTTTTGCTTATTATTATTATTATTATTATTATTATCATTATTATTATTATTATTATTTTGTGAACGCATCATTACAAAAAATAACATTTGCTTCGATCTGAGTTCTGGCTATTTGGAAACAGCCAGTTGAGTTGGGTAGATGGATGTTTTGATTG